TTTGGGTCATTTTGATGGGCAATCTTGTTTTGTAGTGCTTCAGCATTTAGTGCCATGAAATTTGTACATCTTCTGCCCGTCCGCATAATTTTCCTTTGTCAACTCCTCCCCATTTGTTTTAAGCTAAACTGTTAGCCTATATTGTTAATTACAGAAATAAAATGTCGTCCAATTCTTTGTGTGAACTCTGGCTCAAGCAAGGAGCTAAACGTCGAAATTTAGCTGAGGTATTCCGCTTCCATTTGTAACTTCTCATTACACTTTCTCTTGTGGGGCTTCAAGGGTTATCTTCTAAGGATTTGTTCTAGTCACTTCTTATGATGGGGCTCAGATTGGTCCCTTACCCAATTTTAGATTGATCAAGGGGGACGCGCTCTGAGCCTCACTATTTGCGATAGATAAAAGGTAAATCCGAACCCCACTATAGGAAATGACATGGCCCACCCTAAATTTAAAAAAAAAAAATACCAATATATACAATATCTAGATTTTGACTCACCTTAACAGAAATATTAATGGACAAAAATGTTAATATGCAATTAGTTTTTATTTGGCCCACCCTAACAGAAATTTCTGAATCCGCTGCTGAAATGATTAGGACAATTCATAAAAGTAACTCTTAAACCAGTCAAAAAAGGTAGATAAGAGATGTTACAGCATTATTGTGCAAAAAAATTGAGCATGGAAGAAAAACATGAAGCCTCCGAGCTCAGATTTCTTTCACAGACAAAAAGTTTTTAGTTGGAATAGGCAAATTCTTGTCAACAACAGTTTGTATTGAGTATATTCTAGGGTATCAAGTCAGAATTAGTTTGAACATAGCACAAAGCAACAGAATAATGCCCCGTTTGTTCATATAAAAACTTTGATTTCTTAATTTTTGTAAGTACCTGTTGAAAGGAGACAGCAAATCAGTATTTAAATTTAATCTTATTCTCATTTCATATGCTGACTCTTTTTATATTGTTTCATCAAAAGTCATGCATAAACCAAATTTCTTCTCTTTCGATGTCCCCATGACAATAAACATATTTTAATAGATTTCTATCGGTTAAAAACACTTTTAAGTTTGTTTAAAGTGTTTGACTGTTTTCAAAAATATTCTTATACAATTTTATAAAATTTGTTGTTTTCAATTTTTTTTATTGGTTTCCTTCTCTCTTTTTATCTTAGAAAAATGTGTCTTACTTATTCACATAAAATTTTATTATTTAAAAACTAGAAAATTGAAAAATATGGAATCACATAGATAACTAAAGAGTCAGGTCAGGTTGTCACCAAACCGAACCACTCGCAAGTGGCTAGAACTCAGCTTAATAGAAGCTCGACCTCGACTTGGCTTGGCTACAATATTGAGCCAAGTTCAAACTTGCCAGATTTCAGCTCGATTGAGAAAGTAGAAAAGTGGAGAAATTGAGAGTTTTTTTTTTTTTTTTTTTTTTTTTTTTTTTTGTGAGCTTGAGCTCAATTAGGCTCAAGCTCGAACTTGACACTGTGGCAACCGAGTCGAGCTCGATTAGCCTAAAGCTCGGCTTGTTTACACCCCTGGTTTACGCTATTGTACAAATTATTGACTTAAAATGAAACACAAACTAATCACATTTATCTAAATCTAATCTAACAACTCTTGTGAATTTGAGCATAAAAAGTTTACACTCGCTCACACAGATTATTTCAAATTTAAAGGAAATCAACCATCTTTCTTTTCAACCAACAACGAAATCCGGAAAAAAAAAATCAATCTGGAAGAGCAAAAAATCCCCAAAAAAAAAAAAAATTCAATCTCAAGAGCGAACAAATCTTGTAGTTAAATTTTATATTTTTGGTTGATATGGTGATATTTCACAACTTTAAGGAAACTCGTTTATCTTTCAAAGATTTCAATAATTAGACTTGTATTTTGAAAGAGATATAACTTGAATTCATCGCAGATATGGAATTTTTTATTACGGAATTAAGAATTAAGTTTTTTATTATGTGTAGAAATTGGGTTTATTGATGTAAGAATTTTCTTTATTCAATTCAATAGAATATAAAAGTTTATAAAAATTTGGAAGAATACTTAGCCTTTCTTTAAGTTAGTTATGATTGAGGAATTTTGTGGGTGCTTTACTGCTTTTACAGCTGTTTTTTTATTTTTCACTCAAAGCTTTCGTGGTATTCTGTTCAATTCACTGCTATTGTTTTATGTCACGGTGATTAAAGAGAGAGACAGAGGGTTCTCTTGTTTACCAATATCATTCATTTGTAAAGTGATTGAAATAATTGACAGTGAACGACCTTTTTTTTGTTTTTTTTGCAACCGAGGTGCTTGACCGGCTTGCGCATACCTCAACTAATCGTCAGGTCCATTGAATACCCTACAAATACAAAGGGTTTGGTAACAGGTGTCTGACTAGTTTGCGTGTACCTCAACTAGTTTATAAAGTTGAACACCTCACAAGCAAAGGGCTAGGTAAGTCACATATGTATGATAGAATTTGAGATGGGTCTGACTCTCACCTTATAAGTCTGTTGAATGGAGAGACTACCCCCTCACGGTCAAACCTATATGTTGAGTCATGTCTGTTTTAATGAAGGTACTTGTTGGCTCTAACTCCTCACCCGCTGGTCAAGCACTTAGCTCAGTGAACATGAGCTCTAATACCATAATGGAATTTGAGGTGGGTCTACTCCTCACCCAATAAGGCCTTGTAGAATGGGAGGATTACCTTTCATATAAACCAGATACTTAGCGTGCCTAGTCTGTGTGAGACCTCCAACAGGGTAGGTGGCCCAAAAATTCCACCCAAGAACCCAAGACAACCCCTTGGGATATTAAGCGACTTTTTTTTGTTAGAAAATTGTAGACGTAAAAATCTACTTGTGCGAAAGGGGTCTGATCCCGTGAGGTTGAGGCCACTAGCAATCCGTTGCACCTACACACGTAGAAAACACGCGTGAAGCAACGAAACACTGGGGTGGTGTTTACCTTAGGCACTCCGACACTCAAGTCAGCAAGGCTAAAAGAGGCTAATATAATGAGGGCTAGGGAGTAAAGAGGTTCCGGAAGTCTAGTCAGGGACTGTGACTACGGCGATGATGTGAAGCTCTCAAGTAGGAGCTTCGGGTGTGAAGGTGTAATGTAACTCATGTCCTTTGTGAGAGGGATGACCTCTGCTTATATAGTGATTGTCTGGTCTCCCAGTCCTGGTGGGAGTAGGAGTCCTATTTGACTCTGATATAACCCTAGAGGAATTAGGCGATGGTGAGCTGTCTTACCAGTGTTCAAATAGGAGGTGATACCGCACGAAAAGTACATCGAGTAGGAAAGTGACCTGACAGGAAGTGACTTCGAATAGGAGACTGATCTGAAATAGGAAAGTGATATATGGGTGCCGTGGGCTCTGGACTTGCTCATAGGTCCAAGAAGTGATTGGGCCAACTGTATCTCGTATCAAATGGGCCTAATCCGATGGGACCAGATCGGGATTGGCCTTTTAAACCATGGTTTTAACTTTTAAGCAATGTATCTAAATTTATGATATTTACTTTTATAATACTTTTTAATGTTTGTATTAAATTTATAGAAAAAATAATTTAAACCGGGGAGTCTAATAATTAAATATATGTATTATTACTTTATGAATTTCACAAAATAATAATACATGCCCCAAAAATAAATTTGATTAGATTATTACAATTTACTAAAGCAATATAAGAATATACACAATTGCTTAACGACTTACAAATTACACAAATTCAATTATCCTTGTAATTAACTAATTGAAAAATTCCCCATTCGGGGATAAATCCCCACAGGGGAATTTCCCTGCGAAGCCCCGTTCATTAGGTTAGGTTGGGGACAATCATGGGAGTGGATATCCAGGACGGGGAACGAGGTCCTTGGCCCGCACCCATCCTCTCTCTCTCTCTCTCTCTAGTACCCCTATATATTTCACCTAATTACACAATTAACCTATCTACATAAACCCATATTTTCTCAATTTCCCTCAACCTAAGCAATTGAACAAGAACAAACCCTAACCCTTAAGTCTTAAACTTGTCGCCACTGCCAGTCGCCCTTAGCCAACTTAATATTGCCATTCGTCGATGCTGATTTTATCTCTCTGATCCAGCCAAACTTCAACCAAAGGTAAAATTAACGCGGCCGGGATGGGCCTCCAACATTCCCCATGGGGCAGGGATGGGGAATTCATACCATCCCCATAACGAGGATGGAGCAGGTATGGGGACGGTGAATGAGATCCCCACCCTACCCCGCCTCATTGCCATGCCTAGGTTTGGGCTTAAGAAAACATATCCTTGAAATATTAGGTTTTATACTTTAAACCTAGTATATAAACCTATTTTTCTCTTGTATGAGTGTTGTATAGTAAATCATAAAACAAATTACATTCATTATAACGAGAGAGGTGAGACAGTATTTTCAATAATATTGACTCTGCTACACATAACCTGTTAATTAGGTGAACAAAAATAAATCACGCATATTATTCTTTCTCTTTACTTGTGTGTTATTTTTGATTTCATAGTACTCTAGATTGTTTCAAATCGAAGGCTAGACAGATTGAGCCCTGTTTGCATCTATTTATGATATATTACTTGATGTAATCCAAGAATATCTTATCATTCAATGGTTTTCAACCTACTTTCAATGCTGTAATATTAAATATAAATAAACCTGGACTGGACTCCCCATTTTATATAAAATACATCTTTGAAGACGTTTAGTTCACCAGTTTTTTTCTCGTCTAGTATTGATAATAACATTCATAAAATCCATTGAGCATATTAATAAAATACAAGAAGGGGAAAGTTTTTATCTGTATTAGGATTTGATTTAGAATTTCTATATCTTGTTTTATTTATCATTATAGTATATTATAAAAAGCCAAAGAAACGTTACAGCAATTTTCATTGCAACACATCTATGCAACAATTTTCACCCAGGTAATTAACTTTGACAGAAACTAAATTAAAATCAGCTCATATTTAATTTAACATCTTAGCTGCTTAATGAAGATTTCAAAGTTGTTCATTGATGATCCACCTTCACTGCCACTCTTTCTGGCCATTTCTTTCAGTTGAGTCACATTATCTCTTATACCACCATCACATAGCAATTTATCCAACTTTCTTCTTATTTCATGGCTTGAAATGATTCCATTTGTTTCAATATTCAATCCTAAACCCGCCTTCCAAACCTCACAAATGTAACTCTTGACGAGGAATTGGTCAGCAAAATAACGCCAACACAGAAAGGGAACCCCCATACTAAGTCCCTCCATGGTTGAATTCCAACCACAATGACTTACAAAACAAGCAATCGAAGAGTGGGCTAAAACCTTCTCTTGTGGTGCCCATTCTGTTATTTTGCCGCGACTGGCTACTCTATCCAGAAACCCTTCTGGGTATTTTATAATGGAACCATCCATAAGGTCTGATCTGACTACCCACAAGAATGGCTGACCCGAAAGTTCAAGTCCTAGCGCCAATTCTTCGAATTGGCACTGGTTGAAAATTGCTATGCTACCAAAGGCAACATATATGACTGATTGGGCAGGCTGTTTATCAAGCCAGTGTAAACAAGTTGAGTCCTCGGGCCAAAAGTTTCCGGTCGGTTTTCCAGGATGATTTATTGAAAGTAATGGACCGATTGGTAAGAGGTTTGGAATCAAATCGCATATCGAAGAGTCTAGTTCATAAAATGAGTTGCAAAGAAGCCAGTTGGAATTTTTGACAGCCTTGTTGGCATATTCTACATATCGGAATATGATGTTTTGCCTGATTGGATCACCTGGACAGCTCCATATGAATTCAGAAGGGATCATGGCAGGCAATTCCGGAGAAATCTGGATCTTTTCATTTGTTAAGGGAGTTCCTACAGAAATTCAAAAATTCCATATCAGAACAAGCCAATTAGAAAATGTTACAACAAGATTATATTGAAATTTACCATTATGATCAATAATTTTGGCTTGAATAAGCTCTTGAATATGAAGACTCAATGCAAATCCTCCAACAAGGCTAGGCCAAAACATGGCTCTCTTGATGCCCATCTTCTCGGCAACATCTGGAGCCCAAGCAGTCGTTGCATCAGCAATGACACAGCTGATCTTTTCATCACATGATAAATTTATCTTCTTAATCAGATCCTCCAAGTGACCAGGCATGACATTCACCATAGTTTCACTAAGTTGTATCCGATCTTTTCGCTCATCCTGATGATCAATGCCATCGGGGATCACCACCATGTCAACCTAGCAATCTTCTTTACCCTTTTCTGACATGGCCGCCAGGACTCTGGCATGTATGGATTCTGTGTTCACAAATGTGACTTTGATGTCATGATCAGCAAGCAGATGACAGAGCTTCATCAATGCCCCTATATGGCCTTGTGCAGGATATGCAATTGCTAGTACATGAGGTCGCTTGCCCATTATGCAAATCACAAATTTTTCAGGTCTCAGTTGCTACTATTGCTAGTTGCTTTCACTTGCAAATATATAGGCAATCCGCCTTGTTTTTGGGTCATTTTGATGGGCAAGTCTTGTTTTGTAGTGCTTCAGCATTTAGTGCCATGAAATTTGTACATCTTCTGCCCGTCCGCATAATTTTCCTTTGTCAACTCCTCCCCATTTGGTTTAAGCTAAAACTGTTAGCCTATATGTTTAATTACAGAAATAAAATTGCGTCCAATTCTTTGTGTGAACTCTGGCTCAAGCTAAGGAGCTAAACGTCGAAATTATAGCTGAGGTATTCCGCTTCCATTTGTAACATCTCATATACACTTTCTCTTGTGGGGCTCCAAGAGTTATGTTCTAAGGATTTGCTCTATTCACTTTGTATGATCGGGCTCAGATTGGTCTCTTACCTAAGTTTAGATTGAAATCAATAGGGACGCGCTCTGAGCCTCACTATTTGAGATAGATAAAAGACAAATTCGAACCCTGCTATTGGAAATGAGCATGGCCCACCCTAAATATAAAAAAAAAAAAAATACTAATATATACAATATTCGGATTTTGGTCTACCCTAACAGAAATATTAATGAAAAAAAATATTAATGTGTAATTAGTTTTTATTTTGGCCTACCCTAACAGAAATATTAATGGACAAAAATATTAATATGCAATTAGTTTTTATTTTAGCTCACCCTAACTGAAATTTCTGGATCCGCTACTGAAAATTATTAGGACAATTCATAAGAAGTAACTCTTAATCCAGTCAAAAAAGGTAGATTAGAGATGTTGCAGCATTATTGTGCAAAAAAAATTGAGCATGGAAGAGAAAACATGAAGCTACTCGAAGCTGTGATTTCTTTCACAGACAGAAAAGTTTTGGTTGGAATAGGCAAATTCTTGTCAACAACAGTTTGTATTGAGTATATTCTAGGGTATCAAGTGCAGAATTAGTTATGAACATAGCACAAAACATACAGAATAATGCCCCGTTTGTTCATATAAAAAACTTTGATTTCTTAATTTTTGTAAGGATACCTGTTGAAAGGAGACAGCAAATCAGTATTTAAAATTTAATCTTATTCTCATTTTCATATGCTGACTCTTTGTTATATTGTTTCATCAAAAGTCATGCATAGAACCAAAATTTCTTCTCTTTCGATGTCCCCATGACAATTAAAACATTTTTTAATAGATTTCTATCGGTTAAAAAAACACTTTTAAGTTGTTTAAAGTGTTTGACTGTTTTCAAAAATATTCTTATACAATTTTATAAAAATTTGTTGTTTTCAATTTTTTTTATTGGTTTTCCTTCTCTCTTTTTATCTTAGAAAATGTGTCTTACTTATTCACATAAAATTTTATTATTTAAAAACTAGAAAATTGAAAAATATGGAATCACATAGATAACTAAAGAGTCAGGTCGGGTTGTCAGCCAAACCGAACCACTCGCAAGTGGCTAGAAACTCAGCTTAATAGAAGCTCGAGCTCGACTTGGCTTGGCTACAATATTGAGCCAAGTTCAAACTTGCCAGATTTCAGCTCGATTGAGAAAGTAGAAAAGTGGAGAAATTGAGAGTTTTTTTTTTTTTTTTTTTTTTTTTTTTTTTTTTTGTGAGGAGCTCATTAGGCTCAAGCTCGAACTTGACACTGTGGCAACCGAGTCGAGCTCGATTAGCCTAAAGCTCGGCTTGTTTACACCCCTGGTTTACGCTATTGTAACACAAATTATTGACTTAAAATGAAACACAAACTAATCACATTTATCTAAATCTAATCTAACAACTCTTGTGAATTTGAGCATAAAAAGTTACACATCGCTCACACAGATTATTTCAAAATTTAAAGGAAATCAACCATTTTCTTTTCAACCAACAACGAAATCCAGAAAAAAAAAAATCAATCTGGAAGAGCAAATAAAATCCCCAAAAAAAAAAAAAAATTCAATCTCAAAGAGCGAACAAACTTGTAGTTAAATTTTATATTTTTGGTTGATATGGTGATATTTACACAACTTTAAGGAAACTCGTTATCTTTCAAAGAGATTTCAAATAATATTAGACTTGTATTTGAAAGAGATATAACTTGAATTCATCGCAGATATTGAATTTTTATTACGGAATTAAGAATTAAGTTTTTTATTATGTGTAGAAATTGGGTTTATTGATGTAAGAATTTTTATTCAATTCAATAGAATATAAAAGTTAATAGAAATTTGGAAGAAATTACTTAGCCTTTCTTTAGTAGATTAATGATTGAGGAATTTTGTGGGGTCTTTACTGCTTTTACAGCCTGTTTTTTTATTTTTCACATCAAAAGCTTTCGTGGTATTCTGTTCAATTCACATTGCTATTGTATTTAGGGTCACGGGTGATTAAAGAGAGAGACAGAGGGTTTCTCTTTGTTTACCAAAATATCATTCAATTTGTAAAAGGATTGAAATAATTGACAGTGAACGACCTTTTTTTTTGTTTTTTTTGCAACCGAGGTGTCTTGACCGGCTTGCGCATACCAACTAATCGTCAGGGTCCATTGAATACCTACAAATACAAAGGGTTTGGTAACTAGGGTGTCTGACTAGTTTGCGTGTACCTCAACTAGTTTATAAAGTTGAACACCTCACAAGCAAAGGGCTAGGTAAGTCACAATATGGTATGATAGAATTTGAGATGGGTCTGACTCCTCACCTTATAAAGTCTTGTTGAATGGGAGAACTACCCCCTCACGGTCAAACCTATATGTTGAGTCATGTCTGTTTTAATGAAGGTACTGTTGGCTAACTCCTCACCCGCTGGTCAAGCACTTAGCTCAGTGAACATGAGCTCTAATACCATAATGGAATTTGAGGTGGGTCTGACTCCTCACCCAATAAGGCCTTGTAGAATGGGAGGATTATCCTTCATATAAACCAGAATACTTGAGCGTGCCTAGTCTGTGTGAGACTCCAACCATGGTAGGTGGCCCAAAAATTCACACCAAGAACCCAAGACAACCCCTTGGGATTATTAAGCGACTTTTTTTTGTTAGAAAATTGTAGACGTAAAAATCTATGTGCGGAAAAGGGGTCTGATCCCGTGAGGTTGAGGCCAATAGCAATCCGTTGCACCTACACACGTAGAGACAAGCGTGAAGCAAACGAGAAAACCTGGGGTGGTGTTTACCTTAGGCACTCCGACACTAAGTCAGCAAGGCTAAAAGAGGCTAATATAATGAGGGCTAGGGAGTAAAGAGGTTACGGAAGTCTAGTCAGGACTGTGACTACGGCGATGAGTGAAGCTCTCAAGAGGAGCTTCGGGTGTGAAGGTGTTGTAATCTCATGTCCTTGTGGAGAGGGATGAACTCTGCTTATATAGTGATTGTCTGGTCTCCAGTCCTGGTGGGAGTAGGAGTCTAGTGGACTCTGATATAAACCTAGAGGAATTAGGCGGATGTGTGAGCTGTCTTACCAGTGTTCAATAGGAAGGTGATACCGAACAGAAAAGTAACATCGAGTAGGAAAGTGACCTGAACAGGAAGGTGACTTCAATAGGAGACTGATCTGGAATAGGAAAGTGATATATGGGTTCCGTGGGCTCTGGACTTGCTCATAGTCCAAGAAGTGATTGGGCCAACTGTATCTCGTATCAAATGGGCCTAATCGGATGGGACCGCATCGGGATTGGGCCTGGTCTCTTCCTCATTCAGTCCCGTTCTCATTTGGGCCAAGGGCGATTTTTGGCCCTAACAGTTTGCCCCCACTCTCTGAGTTAAGCTTTTCTTAAGTCAGAGAGTAGGAAGCGATCAAGGCGCGCTCGGTTCACTTCCTGGACGACAGATTGTCAGCGTAGCTGACCAGTTTGATGTAGGTGATTCGTAGTCAAGGGTCGCTCGGTATCAAAGCTGATCCGGAATGTGCAATCACCCCAAGAAGGTGTGCCCGATCGTGTGAAGAGTCGAAGGGACTGACATAACGAGACTTCTGGGGCTCACGTGCTCGTTCGGGTGTGTCCTGCCGATTGGAGAAGTGAACTAAAATCCCGTGACAGGGGTATCTGCTCGACATGCCGCGGTCGAATGAGTTGGAGACAATGTAAATTAAAGGTTCGTTCGGTTAGGGTACGGGTGATCGAGTGGGATGGAATCAGCTCGGCCGGCTTGTTGGACTGTAAGACTTGCGCTTGTGATTCCACGACGCTCTTTACTGGATGCCAAAGGGCAAACAAAATGCGCAAACATTTGACCCATGGCTGCCCACTCGTCTACTATGGAAGACCGAATGGCCAAGGCCCCTTGGCTTGACGCCTCGAGGGTGAACAAGTGATAGACTGTCCTAGCCAATCGCCCCAATTGGGAGAATTCCTAGACATGAAGCATGGGGTGTCGGCTTCGTTGCGGGAGCCGGCCTGTTGAAATGTGCTGGCTCGTCGGGTAGGAAGGGCGATGAACTCTTTAGACAGTTAAGTCTATGTGTTGATCGTGTGCGTGGGGTGAGGTGATGGTGATAGTCAAAGTTTGAAAAGACCAGGTCGGTCGGTAGGTCGGTGGCATAGGAGAGTGGTGATCCAATACTTGGTTCTGGGGAGTGAGGATAGTGGAGTTCAGTCGGTCGGGTCGGTCGGCTGGGTAGAGTGGATCCAATACTTGCTTCCTAGGAGTGAGGATGGTGGAGTTCAGTCAGTGGTCGGGTAGATGGAGATCCAATACTTGGTTCCTGGGGAGTGAGGATGGTGGAGTTGAGTCGGTCGTCGGTCGGTCGGTCGGTCGGGTGGGTGGAGTGGAGATCCAATACTTGGTACTTAGGGGTGAGGATGGTG